AGCATGGATCTCAGAGTTCACGCCCAGGGCTTCAGATCCATTAGACCTGGGGCGGGCCCTGAGAATCTGCCTTTCTAATGCGTTCCAGGTGATGCTGGGTTTAGAGCCACCAGGCTAAGGCATATCTAGAGAGTTCACAGTTGCGTGCCTTAGGGGAGACTGCCACGGAAGTCTTGGAAAGAAGAAAGCTCTTTGCATTGAGTTGGGGTCCTTTGCCCCTCGTCTCCAATGTCACTGCTTTTTAAGTTTATTTATTTATTTAGAAACAGAGATGCATTAGTGGGAGGAGGGGGCAGGGAGAGATAGAGAATCCCAAGCAGGCTCTGCACTGTCAGCACAGAGCCCGATGTGGGGCTCGAACCCATGAACAGTGAGATCATGTCCCGAGCCGAAATCGGGTCGGGCGCTTGACCAGCTGAGCCACCTGGGTGCCCCTACAATGAAATTCTCGAAGAGTCAAGGCTCTGTGAGCACGGGACCCCTGACTTCCTCTTGGGCTCCGTCCCTCCCTCTGGAACCTTTCCAAGTCACGCTCTGTCACTCTGAGTTCCCCAAGTGGCCCATTTGCTGTGCCCAGCACCTTCCCACCTGTTCTTCAGCCCAGCGGGTCCCCTCTCCGTGCCCTGGGAACTCGCTCCTGCACTTCCTTTGAGGATATTTTGCTCACGACCCCGAGCCCCACCCCTGCCCAGAATCGCACCCCCACCTGTCTCCTCTATAGCGTGACGTGTCCGCATCACGACATTGCCACCTGGGCCGCAGGTGTCTCTGTTTGTTCCTTCCCAGTGTTGCCAGATTCACAGACACCTCGCTGCGTTTGAATTGCAGATAAAGAGTGATGTTTTCGTAGGCACGCGTCTCATGCCGTAGTCGGCGAGCTCCCCTTGCTTCTGTTCACTTCCGCTTCCTGAGGGCCGGGCACTGCGCTCGGGGCTCCGCGTCTGCTTTCCCGTTACCCCCTGGGGAAACTTACGAGCCTCTGCTCTCATAACCCTCACTTTCCAGAGGGGGAAACCAAGGCGTGGGGGGGGGGTTTGGACAAATATGTTGAAGAAATAAATGTCTGAGGCCTTTGAACAGGGAAGCAAACCCTCGGGTTGAACTGAGTCCCCTGAGCCGGACGGGAAGGCAGAGAAAGCCTGCAGTCAGGTCACGGCTCACTTTGTCCGCCGACTCGTCTGTCGGCAAATGTCCTGTTTGCCCTTGGCGGGTGCTTTGCGAGCCACCGGTAGGTTAAACGTCAGCTCCGAGCCATCTTTGCTCAGTGAAAACACTCTAAGTCCTTACGTTCTAGACCATTTCCTTAAGGGCTCGGGGCGTCCCTTGCCTGGCAGGCGGCGTGGGTCTGTTTCTGTGGGCAAACAATACTTTGGCGGCCACAAAGGGCCCACAGGAGATCACAGAGTGTATGGTCCTGTTTATATGAAATATGCAGAACAGGTAAATCTGTAGAGACAGAGAGCAGATGGGTGGCGGCTGGGGGAGTGGAGGGGACTCACTGATAGTGGCCACGGGGTCTCCTTTCAGGGGAGTGAAAAGGTCTTGGAGCCGGTGGACACAAAACATGGGAAATACACAAAATGCTGCAGAATTGTTCATTTTGAGATGGTTAGTTTTAGGGGCGCCTGAGGGGCTCAATCGGTTGAGTGTCCGACTTCAGCTCAGGTCATGATCTCACAGTTTCTGGGTTCGAGCCCTGCATGGGCTCTGTGCTGACAGCTCGGAGCCTGCACCTGCTTTGGATTCTGTGTCTCCCTCTCTCTCTGACCCTCTCCTGCTCTCTCTCTCTCTCTCTCTCAAAATTTAAAAAAGATGGTTAGTTTTATGTTATGTGAATTTTGCCTTAATTTTAAAAAGAGAATCAAGGAGAAGGGAGAGGCATCCCCAACATCAGGCTTGACAGGAAGCGGGGACCAGGGGGGCCCCAGAGGGCGCCTGACCCCCATCAGCATGCTCCACTCCTGCGACGACGGGCACACACTGGGATTCTAATGGGAAGTGCGTGTGTGTCCCAGAGGGAGCGATCGGGCCACACACGAGCGACCTGGGCAGAACTGACCCCCACGTGGGCGGGGCACAGGGCGCACGTGTTCAGCCCCCAGATCCCAGGGCTCTGCCTTCTGAAATGGACGACCTTGCAGTGAGACAGACTGAGCCCTCGCCGGGGGTGTTTCGGGCCCCTTGGAACAAGGGAGGGGCTTGGGAAGCCCTGCAGAAGTGGGTTGAGAGTGGACAGGAGGTGAGAAGGTGGGGGCAGTGAGTGCAGACCGCTCCTTCCTAAGCTTGGCGGTGGCGGAGGAGAGAAGAGAGTGCGGATATCTCCGATGGGTACAGCCCCGAAAGCAGGTGGGTCTGGACCGCATCAAGCCCTCGACGCGCCCCGGGTGGCCTGGTTCTGCAAAAGCACCCCGAGGCAGGCTTCATCATCCCATTTTGCAGATGAGGCCATTGTGGTCGCTTGCCCGAGGCGACTTGCCAGCATGTGGAGCTAGGCCATGTCCCAGGCAACACGAGGATGAGGGTAAACTGAGGCTGGTGGCAGAGCGCAGGCATCCGTCCGTCCGTCCGTCCAGCGGGCCGAGGGCACATGCATTTCAATGGGCGTCCTGAGCTCTGAGAAAGGCTCATGGAGCCTTCAGCCCCCGAGTCCCCGGCACGGGCCCCTCCCTGCGGACCGGCCGCAAGGTGGGAATGGACGGGTGCTGCCTTGGAGACGGCCCGGCTGCTGGGCAGCGCGGTGGGGGGAGTCGTGTCTGACGCCGCGTTCCCCTCGCTCTGCACGGCCGAGGGCCTGTGCCACATCACTGCTTGCGGGTCCCAGGCGCGCAGGACGCTTGGCAGCATGTCTGGCCTTCACCAGCAGGTGCCGGTAGCACCTCTGCCCCCCCCCACCCCTCCCCCCCCGGTGATCACAGCCAAACAGGTCTGCAGACGTTGCCCAAGTCTCTCGGAGGCAAAGCCCCCCCGGGTGAGAACCCTGATTGAAAGCACAGCGTGGTGTGGGGTCCTCGGGGGACCCAGGTCTCCCCCAACAGGCAGTGTTGCGTCTCCCGAGCCTAAGAACTGGCCTGGGGGTGGCGAGGTGGGGCTGCTGCGGCCGGAGCGAAGACCGGGGTTTTTATCCCGGTAGCGACTGGGATGCAGGTTTCAGGCATGGCGTGTGTGGGGGGCCGGGGGACCGGATTTGTGTTTATCAGTCACTCACCTGCTGTGTACAAAGCGAATAGAGTGTAGTCGCGGCCGGGAAGGAACGGGGCGAGGCCGGGAACCGCCAACCGGGCAGGACGGAGTCCTCGTGTGGTGTGAGCAAAACCCAAGCCCAAGCAAACCTCACTCGGTGTGACGGAACCAGACCCGGAGAACAGAAGAGGAGTTCGGTCCATTTTGTGATGCACGTTTCCCTTAAAGGCGGACTCAGGGAAAGCTCGCGGCAGACGGGCGCCTGCAGGATGTAATCGCTGCTGTGTTTCCTGGGTCGTGACCCAAGTGAGAATGATCCCAGCAAGTGGATGTGGTTGAGAGAGTTTCTTTCTGAGTTTCCTTCCTTCCTTCCTTCCTTCCTTCCTTCCTTCCTTCCTTTTCTTTCTTTCTTTCTTTCTTTCTTTCTTTCTTTCTTTCTTTCTTTCTTTTTTCTTCCTTCCATCCTTCCTTCCTTCCTTCCTTCCTTCCCTTCTTTCATGTTTATTTTTTGAGAGAGACAGAGTGTGAGGGGGGGAGGGGTAGAGAGAGAGGGAGACACAGAATCCGAAGCAGCTCCAGGCTCTGAGCTGTCAGCACAGAGTCCGACGCAGGGCTCGAACCCACGAACTGTGAGATCATGACCTGAGCTGAACTCCGACGCTTAACCGACTGAGCCCCCCAGGCGCTCCTTGGCAGAGCATTTCTAAGGAACAAGGCATTTGGGGGATCACGTTGGGGATGGGGGGTGGCGAGAGGGAAAAGGGGAACTTGCCATCCCTATTTCCGCTGAAGGAAGAGGTTGGCTGATGCCTCCTTCCTCCTTCCCAGAGCCCAGCAACCTGCTGGAAAAGGAAAAGATGCTTATCATGTCCTGGGGGATCAGAATACTAGGAATCGCTTTGCAGAAATACCTAGCATTTTCCTGATAGAGATCTCCTGTGCTCTCATGTCTTCCCGGGCCCTCCAGGAATTTCATATGACTTCTACCCAGGTCTGCCTGGTACCCAGAACTCAGCTGGGTTCCCCCCCTTTGCTTGGATTATTGCAGACGACACACAGAAGAGGCCGTGATATCACTTATCATCATTAGGGGCTTTCTCTACAGTATAGCACGTACGTGACCACGAATCCCAGAAGCTCAAGGTTCAGGATTCTAGACGTGTCCATTGTTGCCCTGCTCTGTCAGCTTTGTGAGTTCCAATTCTGTAAAATAAACTTGCTTAAAAATAGATGCGTCAGTAACAATCAACTCCTGGAAACAACCCAAAGGTCCATTAAGAGTAGAACGGGTAGGGGCGCCTGGGGGGCTCAGTCAGCTGAGCGTCTGACTTCGGCCCAGGCCATGATCTCACGGTTCACGGGTTCGAGCCCCGCGTCGGGCTCTGTGCTGACAGCTCAGAGCCTGGAGCTGCTACGGATTCTGTGTCTCCCTCTCTGCCCCTCCCCCACCCCCTCTCTCTCTCAAATATAAATAAACATTAAAAAATTTTTTTAAAAGATAATGCACACTTTCTCTGTGTGTGTTATACTTCGAAAAGTAATGCATCAGGGGTGCCTGGGTGGCTCAGTCAGTTAAGCATCCGACTTCAGTTCAGGTCATGATCTCACGGTTTGTGGGTTCAAGCCCTGTGTCGGGCTCTGTGCTCACAGCTCAGAGCCTGGAGCCTTTTTCAGAGTCTGTGTCTCCCTCTCTCTCTCTCTGCCCCTCCCCCACTCGTGCTCCGCCTCTCTGTCTCAAAAATAAATAAACTATTAAAACAACCTAACGCATCAGTACAAAATTGCCATTTGCTTAACAGTAATCCTGCTTCTTTTCACAGATTGACGGACACTGTGAGTTGAAAGCCATCGAGAGAGAGAAAGCAGTGGTAGCTCTGTCACCCAAGGAGGCGAGCAAATGCCACAGAGAGGATTTGGCCAAAGCGTTTTATGTAAGAATTGAATTTGCGTGTGAGGTCGGTACGGTAAGGCTTTCCGCTTCAGAAGAAAGCGCCACACGGCCCCGAATTCGAATTCTGTGCTGTTACACGTGTTTCTCCTCACTCTTAGAAAATGCGACTCATGTTGAAGGGTTCTGACATCCCACGTGGACTGTCCTCGTCATTGCTGTCAGTGGAGCTGACTCTCGCGGGCATCCTCCCGAGCCCTTTCCTACTTGCTGCGCTTACTTGGAGACCCAGGGGGTGCCTGCGGTCACCCCCGGGTCCCTGAGGACCTCTGAGACGTGGATCCGGGCAGTCTGACCGGCAGCTCGACCTCGTAGCCGCTGCCTGTGCACACACTTTCTCTTTTACAATCCAGGGTGTATGCAATCAAACCAGATCCGTACACGTTTCACAAGTGAATTTGACTTCCTGGTCAGTAGTCAGTGCGAGACGACACACCCACATGGGCACACACACATACACACACACACACACACACACACACACACACCTTCCCTCCACGAAGCTCTACACACACACACACACACACCCCTTCCCTCCACGAAGCTCTACACACACACACACACACACACACACACCCCTTCCCTCCACGAAGCTCTACACACACACACACACACACACACACACACACCCCTTCCCTCCACGAAGCTCTGCACTGAGCCTTAAGGACATTGTTTGCTTTCTGTTTTCTACTTACTTAGAAAACCGAGCAAATGGAGCGACCCCTGTGTGCACGCGCGTGCATGCCTGTGTGCATGTGTGTGTGTGTGTGTACATACATACTCATAACCCACCACAATTTGGGAATGCAAATAAAAACTCACTAGTAACGGGTCACACACCACAGTAAGACAGTTGAAATGAGGGTTTGATGCCAGTCTTTTCTTGAGAATAATTCAAAAGTCTGTTCAAATTCAAGTCCTGCCTGTGAATATTAAGAGAAAGGAAGGGAATGTTCTCGCCTCACCTAGATACTTTCCCTGCCCAGCAAGCGAGCCTCGTTTTCAGTCTCAATTGAAACGAATCTAGAAACCAGTCCAGCCTCCCCTGTCACGTCATCCACCAGCCATGGCTTTCTCGTTGCCAACTTTTTAAAAACAAGGATACCTTTGCTGCGACCAGACCGACCGCGTTTCCTTACTTAATTATCAATGTAATGCTGTGTGGAGAGCTTGACGTCGTATCTGGCACGATGCCCATACGATGTAATAATTTTAGCTGTTTTTTCTAAGGACAGGCCTTTTCTCTGTTGTTTCTTTTTAACTCTTAATTATGGTAACATAAAATTTGCCATCTTCACCACCGTTGAGCATGCAGTTTGGGAGCATTGGGAGCATTCACGCTGTGGCCCAACCAGCCTCCAGAACTTTCCATCTTACAAAACTAAGCTCCGTCCCCATGAAGCACTCACTCCGCCCTCCCCGCCACCCGGCCCCTTGGCACCCAGCTCCTCCTGTGCACCTCTGGGTGTCTGAGCCCTCTAGACGCCTCACGTAGGTATGGGGGTGGGATCGTGCAGTCCGCCCTTCCCCGACCAGCCCAACTGATCCAGTGACAGGCACCCAGGCTGCTCCCCCGTCTTGGCTGTTGAGAGTAACACTGCCATGAACACAGGAGCCCATGTATCTCTTCTACACCCACTGCTAGTTCTTGTGATCTACAGGTACCCAGAAAGGGGGCTGCCGCAGCACGCGGGGACTCCGTTTTTAATTTTGGAGGAACTTCCGTACCTCTGTCAATAGCAGGTGCACCATTTCACATTCCGAAGGCCAATTTTTTTTTTTTTTTTTTAAAGAAAACATAAGCGTTTCTACATTTCTGGAATTCCTGGCGACAATTCCCTTCATTGACATTTGGCCCAAGGTTGTCTTTTCTGCTGTATTTATAGGGGCAGAAGCGTGGTCCGACTGAGAAAGAACTGGACTGTGGGCTTTCCTTCTCTCTCCGTCCCCATTTGCTCAGGGCCTTCCAGCAAGTCCCTGCGCCTCTGGGGACAGCCCGGTTTCCTTGTCCACGGCGGAAGTGGCCGGCTTCCGGAAGTTCTGCGGGGCGGGCCCCCGGTCCTTCCTGGCCCATCGGTGAGCATGCGCTTAACCATGCCCTTCCAGGTGGACTTACAGAAGGGGCTCTCCGAGTTCTCCGTGTCGCAGCGCAGGCTGGTCCATGGCTGGAATGAGTTTGTCACTGATCGCGCTGAGCCCGTGTGGAAGAAATATCTTGATCAGGTAGGTGTTGTTCTTTGCATTAACTCGTGTCAGCCAGAGAGTGTGGGATAGCCATCCATTGTTTAAACATTGCTTAGAGGTGTCCTTGGACCGGTTTTGGGTGCAACGTGGCTGTGCTATAAAGACAGAGAAGGCTCCCTGCTCGTTCAGGCTGCTTTTAGCTTTTAGCTCATTCAGGTCATCAGGAGGGATGACCACGAGCAGCTCGCCACCTACCCGGGCAGCCGTGACCATGACTAATAGTTTTACATTCATAGAGGATTTGCCACACGCTGGGTACTCTGCTGCGTAAGTAAATGAGCGTTAACTCACTTTGTCTTCCTCTTAATCCTCATTCTGAGATGAGAAGGGTGAACAGAGAAGTTGAAATATGTCCCCAGGCTGCGTAGGGTTGCTAGACGTCGCAAATAAAGATAGCGGATGCCTTGTTAAATGTGAATTTCAGATGAATAAAGAACACTTTTTTTTTAGTATAAGAATGCCCCCAAGTGTTGCACGGAATATGATTATACCAAAAAAAAAAAAAAAGTTCCTGTTCATCTGAAATTCATATTTAACTGGCTGTCCTGTAATGTTTGTGGCACCGGGAGCCTGACGTCACACAGCAATAAGTGGCATCCTGGGGGTGAAGCCAGGCAGCGGGCTCGAGAGCCCCCCCCCCGCCCTTCGCCTCTGCCCTCAGTCCTGGTACAAAGCCGAATGTAAGTCAGATGCTCGGAAGCCACCAGAAGAGGAAAGAAAACTTTGAAACGCACGTGGCCGCAAGTTCTGGTCTGGAAGTGCACCCCCGTACCAGCTACCCCGTAGCGGAAGAAGCCCCCACTGAACAGGCCGGCTACCCCCAGATTCCTGAAGACACTCAGACGGCCTGGTTTCCCCGCGCGAACCTGGCCCCCCTCCCTCCGGTCGGCGGTACCCAGGCTTAAAGCTTAAAGCGTCGTGATTGGTCGGTGCAGCATCCGCCATCTCTACTCTGGTCCCCACGCCGCTCATTGGTCAGGCCTCGGCACACCCGGGGTAGCTTTCATGGACGCATTTGGCACCCACATCAGCTTCTGGGTGCGCAGGTGGCTCTAGCCAGCCCGGAAGCTTCCCCGGAATCCCGGGTTTGAAAGGAAGCAGCGGAGGCTCCTGGAAGTTAGAGTTCAGGGAAGCAGGCGGGCACGGGGGGTGGGGATTGCCAGTCTCCCTTCTGCCGCTGGGCCTTGGTCCGTCCTGCCCTGGCCGCCCCTTCCTCCAGGACCCCCTCCTTCCTGCCTCCACTCTGTTAAAACTCCTACAGATGCCAACCAAGGCCTTTCCAGAAATGAGATCTCTTACATTTCCAAGAGCAGAGAGCCTGCTTATTCACCCTAACCTTGTCAGTTCAGGGATCCTTCTCTGGGCTTCCTTGTGGGTTTGGAAGGCATTTCCCATAGGCTGTGTTTTTATGATCCGTACAGAAAATCACCCTGTACTCATTAATTCTTCACATGCGTTGAGCACTTGCTCTCTACCAGGTGTTGACCACCTTGCTTGCCTCCAGTGACGGGGAGCTCTCTACCCCACGAGGCAGACCTATTTCTCTGTCTCCAGAGAATCGCTGTTAGGGAATTCTACCTTAGCATGACCCGAGTCATGTTGCCCCAGGATCATAAGGCAAAGGTAGATTAGAGTCACACCACCAAGGTTCCAATCCCAATTTTCAGCCTTGTGACTTTGAGCCAGTTTTTGAACCTCCTTGAGCCCATTCTCCCTGTCTAGAAAATGGAATTAGGCCATACCTGCTGTTCTGGGTTTTACATGAGAAGAGGGCGGCTTAGCACATCGAAGGACTTAATAAATGCCGTGCCCCTCCCCCCGTGTCTACCAGGCGGCCCTCGTTGAAGCGCGGCAGTTAAGAGCACGAGTCGGGAGTCGGGCTGACGGACATGAAGCTTTGCACAGTTCAGTTTCTTTCAGAGCCTCGGGATGCACATGTATCAAGCAGGGACAGATAACAGCACTGTGTCCGCAGGTTAGGAGGAAGCTAAGAGTGTGCTCAGAGCGTGGCACATACGAGGCACTCAGCAAGATGGCGGTTGGTTTTACCGTGACTGTTTCTCTGGTGTGTTGCCCGTTGCCCGTGCGGCGAGCAGTCGGCAGACCCCTTTCCGCCCATGTCCCTTTACATGTGGGCTTAGAGGGGCCCCGAGCCGGGAAGAGTCTGATCATCGTGGCCAGAGCAGCACTAGCGACACGTGGGTCTGCCACCTGTTTGCTGAGGCTCACGGTGACTCACGTGTGTTGGATGGGGCTGGCCAGGTGCTTGGGGTGGTCTCACAATGGCGGAAGGAGGGGGGGCTGGTGATATCAGTGGTGAAGAACCATCTGGGTCCAGCTCCACAGAAGGCTGAGCCTCTGGGACTGGAATTGGGGTTCATGGTGGCACTTGGTCCAGTGCCACTTGGACCACTTGGTGGCCCCCGCCAGGACTGCACACCCCCAAGCTAGCCTTGAGCCCAGGGCCGGGGGGGCCCCTTGTCTGCTGCTCCCAGGGTCCCGGGTGGGGGTAGCCTGCAGAGAGGGGAGGAGAGGGGAGGGCAGGGAGCCAGTGGCCTCATGGAAGTGACCCGGACAGGAGGACATGCACCTGAGACGGGACAGACCTAGCGCTGATCTCAGCTATGTGACCTTGAGTCGGAGTTCCGACCCCACCAAGAGTGAAGTTCCCCTGCCTAAGAATGGGTGCTGGCTGCTTCATTCATTCATTCACTTACTTACTCATTCGCTCATTTATTCATTCTAGATAAATGCTTTTTATGTTCCTGGCCATGGACTAGGCCTTGTGCATTGAGCAGCAGCCAGACCAACTGTCTGCTTTTGGGCAGACAGACAGCTTCATATGTAATATGTCACCCACCCAGTGTGGTCAGGACAGGTCGTAGGAAACGAGAGTGGGCGCGGCTATTTGGACGGCATGGTCAGGGGAGCCAGTTGACTGGTGCCCAGAGGAGGTGATCTCTGAGCAGAGACCTGAATGAAGTGGAGAAGGGAGACGTGTGAGGGTCTGGAGGAAGGATGTGCGGGAGGGGGAAGTGCAAAGGCCCCGAGGCAGAGAGGCCTGGTGCACGGGAGGCTAACTGAGCTTCAGAAGGCAGCCTGGAGATTTTAGGTGCCCAGTGCCTGGTGCATCCTGGGTGTCCGGCCCACGTTTGTGCATCTCTCGCACCTTCTCTCCTCCATCTAGCCAGAGGGCAAGTCTGTGACAGGCTCAGGGCTGAAATGAAATCTTACTCTGAGCTCTACTGGATTGGCGTGCTTTTCCTCTCTGTACCAGGCTGAGTAGTGCCCTCTCGGATTCACATCTACCCGGAACCTCAGACTCTCCTCTTACTTAGACAAAAGGTCCTTGCAGATGCAACTAGTTCAGATCAGGGCGGACTAGACTCGGGTGGCCCTAAATCCAGTGCCCGGTGACCTTAACGAGAAGAGGAGAGACTGAGACACCCACGAGGAGGAGAGGGCCATGGGACCCGGGCAGAGGCTGGAGCGGCGTGTCCACACCGAGGGCACCAAGGATGGCTGGGGCCCCCAGAAGGTGGGAGAGGCGGGACGGGTTCTCTCCCAGAGGCTCCACGGAGATCCGGCCCCATCAGCACCTTGATTTGGAGTCTCGGCCTCCGGAACTGAGAGAAGCAGCCTCCGTCGTTCAGAGCCCCCCAGGTTGGGGTCATTTGTCACGGCAGCCCCAGGACACTGATGCGCCTCTCTGGGCTTTCCCGAGCTCACATTCGCTCTTGGACTTCATCCTCCCAGATTTCTGAGGAAAGGGTGTGTCTGCCTCCGCCCGTGAGTGTGCGGCCTTGGCAGTGAGCTGTGTCCGCAGCGCTGAGCGCGGCCCAGGGCCTCTCGGCGGCCCCTCGCCCTGCCCGCTGCCCCGCCCCACCCCGTCCGGCGCGATCAGATGCTCTCAGAACCGAAAGTGGGGCTTCACTGGCCCAAACCTTTCATTAATCTTTCATTAGGGATATTTTCAAAAATATGCCTAAGTCGATAAATATAAGGCCCTCCACATATCCATTATCCGCCTTTGATAATGATCAGTCCATTTGACCCACTCCCCTTTCTCTGCAGCCTTTTAGAACAAATTCTAGGGGCGCCTGGGATTAAGCGTCTGACTTTGGCTCAGGTCATGATCTCATGGTTCGTGGGTTTGAGTCCCGTATCGGGCTCTGCTGACAGCTCAGAGCCTGGAGCCTGTTTCCAATTCTGTGTCTCCCTCTCTCTCTGACCCTCCCCTGCTCACGCTGTCTCTCTCTCTCTCTCCTAGAAATAAATAAAACATTAAAAAAAATTTTTTTTAAAAAAGAACAAATTCTAGATACTGAATCTTTTTATCATCAGTGCTTTGTATCTCTATTGCTGGAGGACAATTTTCTTTTTCTTGTTTTTGTTTTTTTTTTAAAGCCGTAACAATACTGTTTCCCCACTGGTACCATTATGGCTTTGTTGGCCTGGTCCCTTCAAGTGCCTGGTCCACAGTTCGTTCCCCCCACGTGCTTCAAAGATGCCTCTTTACAGTTGATTTGTTCAAATCGGTGTCTTAGCGAATCCTACCCTTTCCTCTTGGACAATGTGAGCCTTAAACTCTTTTTAACGTAAGACTTTTTCCTAATCTGTGAATCCAGGCCTAGGGGATGTTAACCCGTGGCTTCTTGCATATGAAAGACCTCACCCTTAGGGAGCAGCCTGCAGCCGATTGATTGGGGGGGGGGGCGTCTCAGAGACTTTGATGCAGGTTTCGAGTTCTTTTTTATTTTTTTAATACGTAATTCTTTTATTCTGTAAAAGGTAACAAAATATATAGAATGAAACTTTCCCTTTTTGAAACTAATGTTACAAACCCATATTGTCACATATATAAATACTATTCTCTATAGCTGATCATTAATTCGGTGGGAGTCCAACAAGGTAGCCCTCTGTTAAGCAAAAACACAAATTCTCTAAGACTGGAGGGTCCTCCCTGCCGACCCCAAACTGAAGGAACGCTGTGTGTGCACTGTGTGTGCACTGTGTGTGAGTGCCGCAGACGCGGTTTTCAAAATAACAGCCACTGCGTCTATCTTGAATTCTCAAGATTGAGCACCTACAATCTTTCTACGATGGGATCAAGAACTTGAAGGTAGGTTTGAAGGTAGGTTTCAAGTTCTTGATCCCATCGTAGAAAGATTGTAGCTGAGAAGGCGAAATTGTAACTAATTTGCTCAATCTTGAGGATTCAAAATAGATTGTGGCTGACTCGGGGCTGCTGGTGAGCTGACCACAGAATGTCGTGTCCCTTGTTCAGAGGAGGTGAGGCACAGCAAGTCTGGGGTCAGGAGGAAGGAGCATTAAACCCCTTCACGCACCACACTGCCATGCACACCACACTTCTCTCCGTGAGCAGCACAAATCACACATTGGATCACATTTCTCTTTTTGCCTTGGCTGCCAGGAAGCTCAGAGCCAAAGGCACAGCCCCATTTAAAAAAAAAAAACAACAACAACTATGATTTGTCTGTTGATATTTTGACTCTCACCTTGATCCTGACCTCTGGTCTACTCTCTCCCTGTTTTTTATGTATTCGCGTTTATGTTTCCTTTCACTCTTCTGTAACATGAGATACTATGTAACTTGTGAGATGAGGGAGGAGATACATAAAAGGACAAAGTAAAAATCCTTTCAGGAAGGTTCTGTGACACCCGTTGTCAGGAACGACGTCTTTGGAGCCCCCCGAGGCAGTTATGGGACCAGGTTGGTGTGGTCGGGACACGGGATTGGGGAGCTGGTGGAGCAAAGGGGACCCTTCGCCCTGCTGGGCCAGGGCTGGCAAACCACCGGAGGGGCTGGGTCCTGACCTGGAGCGTCATGGAGACGTGCAGGGGAGCCCAGGAGCCAGGGCCGGTGTCGGGACGGGCACAGTGCTGGGTGGTCCCCACGGAGCCAGTGTCCGTGAAAGAGCAGAGGGGGGATTCCGGCTGGAGGAGCCCCTTCAGGTGGAGTGGTATTTCTCCCCAGCCCTGGGCTCACCGTGGTGCTGGCCTGGCCCCCGGCCCCAAGCAGAAGCTCCGTCGTGTGGGGGAGGGACTGGAAAAGGCCTCCTCACCCCCACCCCGCTGCCCCGTTTTCCCTTTTCAGTTTAAGAACCCCCTGACCCTGCTGCTCCTGGTCTCCGCCTTGGTGAGCGTCCTCACGAAGGAGTATGAAGACGCCGTCAGCATCGCCGTGGTGAGTGTGCGGGGCCGCGCCCGCTCCGGACCCCCCGGCCCGGGGCCTTGCGGGCCTTTCCCTATCTGACGACGCCAGGAAATATATCTTGGTGGCAGAGAAAAACTAGGAAGTAATGGCAGAAAGAAAGGCGAGCAGAGCCACGTCCGTCTGCCCCACACAGAGGTTTCCTGGTTAATTTTGCCATCACTCTCTTGGCGGATCCCGGGGCGGGGGCGGGGGGGCTTCTGGTTCCTTCCTGTTAGGAACAGTGTTGCAGGGAATGCCTTTTCGGAGACCCCTGGGCTGGAATCATCCAATCCCGGCTGCGCAGGCAATACACACGGTAGTCCTTCGTAGGCTGCTACCCGGCCATGACCCCCGAGCTCCTTTTTAAAAATAATTTCTTCCTAATTTAGGTGAAAGTCGCATAATTTTTTTTTAATATTTTTATTTATTTCTAGGAGAGAGAGAGCATGAGCAGGGGAGAGTCAGAGAGAGAGGGAGTCACAGACTCTGAAACAGGCTCCAGGCTCTGAGCTGGCAGTCAGCACAGAGCCCGACACGGGGCTCGAACCCACGAACCGCGAGATCATGACCCAAGCGAAAGTCGGACACTCAACCGACTAAGCCCCCCAGGCGCCCCTAAAGTCGCATAATTTAAACAGTAACCATTTTAAAGTGTACGATCCAGGGGCGCCTGGGGGGCTCAGTCGGTTAAGCGTCCGACTTCGGCTCAGGTCATGATCTCACGGTTCGTAAGTTCGAGCCCCGCGTCGGGCTCTGTGCTGACAGCTCGGAGCCTGGAGCTGCTTCAGATTCTGTGTTTCCCTCTCTCTGACCCTCCCCTGCTCATGCTCTGTCTCTGTCTCTCAAAAATAAGTAAACATTAAAAAACAATTTTAAGTGTACAATCCAGTGGCATTTAGCACATTCACAAGGTTGTATAACCACTACCTCTGTCTAGTGCTAGAATATTCCACTGTCCTAAAAGGAAGTCCCTCCCCAAGCCGCCTCCCCCTCCCCCTCCCCCTCCTCCCCAGCCCCTGGCAACTGCCAGTCTGCTTTCTGTCTCCATTACCTGTGTGGATATTTTATATAAACAGAATCATACAATATATGACCTTTCATATCTGGCTGCTACTGAATTTGATGACTGCCCTTCCTGCTTCCCTCTGGCCTGTGTGCTCTTCAGATACAAAAATAGCCTCTTTCCGTGCAATGACATTTGCTGCCTCTGTTTAAAAGTCTGAAGTTGGGGCGCCTGGGTGGCTCAGTCGGTTAAGCATCCAACTCAGGTCTTGATCTCAGGGTTGTGAGTTCAGGACCCACATTGGGCTCCATGCGGGGAGTGGAGCCTACTTTAGTAAATAAATACAGACAGAAGGAAGGGAGGAAGGAAAGAAAGTCTGAAACTGTATCCATATCTTCTGATGTGGAGTGATGTTTACAGTGCGTTGTGTGAAAAGCCAGTTTATAGGATCCTATGCTGTGTGTCTATGCAGAAAAATCTAGAAGGGGACCCCAAAATGTCAACCTTTGGATACCAGAATTTGGGATGATTTTTCCTTTCTTTTATTTCGGTGGGGGGTGGGGGGAGGATGCATCCATTTTCTAAATTTCTGTGCCCTTGTCTTGAAAGAAGGAAATAGATTTGGAAAGGCCGGGTGCCGTGGCCCACCTTGCATGGGCTCATCCACGTGCTCACTCAGCAGCCGGGTGCTGACGCTCCCTCCCCGTTTGCTCCCCTAGGCTGTGCTGATCGTGGTCACCGTCGCCTTCATCCAGGTGTGTGGTTACTTCCCGAGGTCTTGGTCGGGGTAACCCGGGCGTGGCGGGAACTCTGCGGGGTTCCCAGCCTTGAATATCATGTTGGGTGTGCTTCCTGCCAGGAATACAGATCTGAGAAATCACTGGAAGAGCTGACCAAGCTGGTTCCTCCCGAATGTAACTGGTAAGTCAGAGATGGCCCGGGACTTTTCGGTTCATCAGAGCAGCCCACGGGCTGGTGAGTTTGGCAAAAGTTTGTGTCCCTTGTAGCGTGATGGAGGAGAGCCACGTCTTCCCGGGGGCTGGGAGGCATGGTGTCTGCCTTGCCACCAGATTACTGTGTGCCCTTGGGCATGCCGTTCGACCTCTCTGGGCCTCTGCTCTCTCATCAGGGTCTAATCAGAGTGCCTGGGCTGGGCGCGGATGGCGGGAGTGGATTTGGGAAGAGAGCAGCCCACGAACCCCGTGGAATGGTGGGAGGGAGCTGTGTGTGTTTTTCCTGCAGAGAGCGCTCGGGGGTTGGGGGTGCACTGGATTCTCAGAGGGACTCAGAGGTTGCGACTCAGGGCTTGAACCGGCCGAGGCTTCGGGACGTTGGGCTGCAGGGTGAGATGTTGCCAGGCTGGCCTCAGGCCGTGGGCCCAGCAGCCTCTTTCCTGCCTGGACATTTGCACGTCGCCTGTTGTTACCACGCGGCCATCACCAAAGGCGTTTAAGGAGAGAGGAAGGACAAGTATGCAGTGCTATGTAGTAGAATTTTCTGCCATGTTCTGTGCTCCACGCCATCCGGTGAGAACCATTGCTCGCCTGTGACCCCTTCAGTGCGGCTGGGGAAGTGAGTCTGTCGTCTTACTGAACTTCAGTAGCCAGCGGGGGCTCGTGCTGACGGTCCTGGGCGGCTGAGGCATACAGCAGGTGCTCCACCCGCTGCCCCGGGAAGGGAAGGGGCCGACGCCCAGGAGAACGTGTTTGGGCCTGGCGTTTTCTTGAGTAAGTTCTCACTTGCCGGTCCTCCGTATGCCTATTCTCCTTGTGAAAATGGACTGATTTCAGGAAAGGTCCGAATCGGCCCCCCTCCCCCATCACCTGGCTGGCTCTAGCTGTTTGGGGCCCACGTCGCACCTGCTGCTCACAAGAACATAACCGGAAGCATCTCACGGCCCAAGGGGCATAGGAAGGGTTTAAACATACAGTCAGCCCTCTGTTTTCTGCAAGATGATGTCTGGGGGAGAACCGGAACATCTATTTGGATGCATATGACACAGCTGCACCCCACGCTGGGGATAGAAAGCTCTAGTGAGACGCGTCCCACCTCCCAAGGAGCCAGCAAGCGAGGGGCGTGTGCGTGCATGACACAGGACAGAGGATCCCAAATAACAGAGACAAAAAGAGGGTGATGGGGAGCCGTGAGTCTGGAAGGCTCGCTGGCGGCCCTAAACATGACCGAGTTCGGTAAGTAGATGAGCAAGGCTGTCAGAGACCCAGATGTGTGACGTGTGAGGTAATCCTGCGAACAGACGGATGCATAAGTGATTCATGTGGTTTGATGATCCGGTCGTGAGTTTAAATATCAGGTCTTGGCCTTTCAGGTGCATAGTGCGCATTATTGATGTCCCTGGAAGTCACTTGTAAAAGACCATTCTGTTCCCAAGGACAGCGGTGGCGGGCAGGCTGGTAGAACCGAAAGGGCACCGAAGATACGCAGCCTCCGCCCGGGCGTCTGTCCTACAAGCCGGAAGGAACATGTGCCCTGCGGACCCTTCCTGGGTGACGCCATCCTTTGTGCAGCCATTAAGGATTTATTGAGCGCCCACTGTGTGCCAGGAGAAATCCTGCCAGGGTTACACCAGGGAACGAGAAAGGAAGGCCTTGAGCATCCGAGAGCTCACCCCCCTGCCAGGGGAGGCAGATGATAAAGGGAAGGAACGAGATGATTTTGGAACGCGACAGGCGCATTCAAGCCAGAAAGGGCCCCCAAACCTACAACCGCAGGAAACCCTCACGGAGATGCCGTAGTGCTTGGTTCAAGAGTGAGAATGGGTTTAGGTGGCTAATGATTGGGCTGCCGGGATCTGACCGTGAAGGCGGAGCTGACATTTTATGCTGAGCCCGTGAATGTCTGACGGCTGCTCCTGGCTCCGAGGGACCGCTGAGCTGCACAAACCAGAGAAATCGTGCTGTCTTTATGGAAGGGGCCTCGGCTGGGAGGGACGGTGTGGTTAGTTTGCTTGAGGCGGTACCGAGGGCCTGTCCCTTTTATTTCTCATTTTTTTAAATGTTTTTATTTATTTTTGATGGGGAGGGGGAGAGAGAGAGGGAGAGAGGGGGGGGGGGAGGGAGATGAAGAATCCAAAGCAGCTCCAGGCTCTGAGCTGTCAGCACAGAGCCCGACGCAGGGCTCGAACCCACAAACCGCGAGATCATGACCTGAGCCGCAGTCGGATGCTTAACCGGCTGAGCCCCCCGGGCGCCCCCCCATCTTCAGCCTTTGTCCTCCTAGTGACTCCCCTTGTAGCCCCGAGATGGCTGCCAGAGTCCAGACATCAGAGCCAGACGTGAAAAGCTCCATGTCGAGGAAGAGGTCGTGTGTGTGTGTGTGTGTGTGTGTGTGTGTGTGTGTGTGTGGTGTTCACAGAGTGAGGAAGCCTTGCTCACGAGTCCCCAGCAAACGTCCGTCCCTGTCGCATAAACCACTGTTGTGGAACGTGCCTAAGCCTGTCCTGGGCGGGGGCTGGGCTCACCCCGATGGCCTCAGCCGGTCAGAGCCCGCTCCCGGGAGCACACGGCTCGAGGTGGGGAAGGGTGGATATCTGAACACGAGTGGCTTCAGTCAGCAAAGAAGAGGGGAATGTCTGCTTCCACATCCCAGGTTGGCAAAGACCTCGAGACGAGAAGGAGCTGGGTGTGTTCAGGGGCTGGATGGTGGGAGAGGGGGCGGGACCCAGGCAAGGGACCCTTAGCAAAGGGCCTTTGGGTTTGCGCTCAAGGTCATCGAAAGCCATTGGAGGTTCGGAGTAGGAGGGAGTTGTGATCTGATTTTTGCAATTTTTTTAAAGTTTACTTATTTATTTTGAGAGAGAGAGAGCATGAGTGGGGTGGGGGTGCCGAGAGAGGGCGAGACAGAGAGTCCAAAGCAGACTCTGTGCTGTCAGTGCAGAGCCCTGTGTGGGGCTTGAACTCACGCACCACGAGATCATGACCTGAGCTGAAACCAAGAGTCAGACACTTAACCGACTGAGTCCCCCAGGTGCCCCTGATTTTTTTTATTTTAAAATTTTTTATGGTTTTTTTTTTTTTTAATTTATTTATTTCTGAGACAGACAGTGTGAGCCGGGGAGGGTCAGAGAGAGAGGGAGACGCAGAATCCGAAGTAGCTCCAGGCTCCGAGCTGTCCGCACAGAGCCCGACGCGGGGCTCGAACTCACAGACCGTGAGATCTGAGCCAAAGTCGGATGCTCAACCGACTGAGCCCCCGCGCGCCCCTGATTTTTGCATTTTAAGAGCTCTCTGGCCACTGTGTGTGGGACAGATGGAAGATGGCCAGAGACGGGGCGGGAGCCCGGCTGGGACTGCGGCCTCCGGAGGATGGTGGCGCGTGGAGGGATGGCGGCCGGAGCCTGTGCACAGAAGCACGTGCGTTGTTACTGGCACAGCCGTGCGGAGGGGTCACAGCCCCGTGGGAAAGGACGTCCCCGGCGTCTCGGGCGCGTCAGATGCTCCCCCAGCTCTGCCAGTGCTCTGTCGGGCTGAGCGCTGGCGACGGATCTCCATGCCCGAGAGGTGTCTTCTCCGAGGACCCAGGTGCCTCCAGCTCCCGGCTCCGTTAAGGAAGCTTCAGAGCTGCTGACTTCCACCTGCAGAAGGTTCTGGAGGCCATGTGGCTCCGCCTCGTCTCCGGGCAGGGTAAACAGTAGTCGTGGCCCCATTTTTCAAATGAAGCCGAGGGCCTCCCCGGAGCCACACGCTTTACCAAAAGTCTTTTAGGGGATGTGAATTTAAAATACAATAAAACCATGAGGGTACAAGGTTTTGTCCATAATTGAAAGTGAGAGCGCGCTTCTCTAGTCTTTGCTCAAATTGGTTAAAGTGCGCAAAATAGGATGTGATCAGCATGTTGGTTTTTTTGTTTTTTGTTTTTTGTTTTTTGTTTTTTTTAATGCAGCATAAGAGAGGGAAAACTCCAGCATCTGCTGGCGCGGGACCTGGTCCCGGGAGACGTCGTATCCCTCTCGACCGGAGACCGGATCCCGGCAGACATCCGTCTCACGGAGGTGAGGAGTCCCAAACCCTGGTCTTTGTGATCTGCAGACTCAGCTTATTGGAGACAGGCATATTCTCTCTCTCTCTCTCTCTCATGTGCACACGCACTTGAGCTCACACACACACACACGTGCACACACACGCAGGAGGTTAGCAAGCAAGCCTACTTTAAGCACAAAGCCCCTCAAATTGTATTTCATAAATTATTTATTCCCAGTTTAAGTTTTGCTTGTGTGGTTTTCTGGTTTACAGCAGACGGCGGTAGCAAATGAAACAGGGCGGGGCTGAGGAATGAGGCAAGAGTTGCTTCTAGAAAGAGCTACTCTGATGTCAGAAAGAAGGGATACCAGATTGCTAAATGCCCAGGAGGGAAACAGACCAGCAAAGACACAAAATGCAGTATAAGTTTTTACAATAGTGTGGTTTGGGGACACTGAGGGAGGAGAGGCCAGCTGTGTCCCTAACCTTTGTGCGTGTCATAGTGTCACAGCCTCACCTGAGGCTCCTGGAAATAATCCTGGATGTACAAGAAAAGGTTAAGTCAAGTTCAGAGGCATCTGTTGATGGGGATTATCTATTTTATGAAACTTTCCAAAAATGCTAAAGAATCATTCAGGGCTTTCAGTGATAGCGGATTAAGCACAGGCTACCTCCGGTACGTACTTACTTCCCGAGGATGTGTTTGCAGGAATCGTACGATCATTGGCATGCCGTTAAAACAGCAGCCTGGAGGGGCGCCTGGGTGGCTTAGTCGGTTGAGCGTCTGACTTTCGCTTAGGTCATGATCTCGCGGTTCGTGGGTTCGAGCCCCGCGTCGGGCTCTGTGCTGACTGCCAGCTCAGAGCCTGGAGCCTGTTTCAGTCTGTGACTCCCTCTCTCTCTGACCCTCCCCTGCTCACGCTGTCTCTCTCTCTCTCTCTCTGTCTCTCAGAAAACAAATAAAACATTTAAAAAAAAAAAAACAACAAAAACAGCAGCCTGGAGGGGTGCCCGGTGCCTCAGTTGGTTAAGCTTCCAACTTTCACTTTCAGCTTAGGTCATGATCTTGAAGTTCATAAGTTCGAGCCCCGCATCAGGCTCCGTGCTGATAGTGTGGAGCCTGCTTGGGATTGTCTCTCTCTCCCCTTCTCTCTCTGCCCCTCTTCCACTCGCGCTGTCTTTCTTGCTCTTTCTCAAAATAAATAAATAAACTTAAACACACACACACACACACACACACACACACACACACAGGCCTGGAGGGGGAGATGGGGAAGCACCAAGAGCCAAATCCAGGCCCTAAATTTAAAGCTTCTAGCCAGTCTTTGCATAGAGGGAGGGGCCCGAGGGACACTCCCACTTTCAAAGCTTCTGCCCCTGACGTTGAGATCTGCCAGCTGGGTAGGGACCAGGGTGAGCGGGCTGGGGCGCTTGCTCTCAGGCTCGTCCCGCTGTCCCCTCCTGCAGCGGAACGGATTCCTCGCCATCTGCTACCCCTCTCCCCACACTAGCTTTCAGCGTCTGACTCCCAAGTCCGGGGCACATGGGTCCCCTTAGAGGAGCCATTCTCCAGTGACCAGCCCCCACCCACAAGGACGTCTGACATTGTCTGCTTCTCCACAGAGCCGTGGGCTCTGCCCCCCATCGTGGGGATTCCCCGGGTGCGGTGGGCGGCCCAGATGCTGGACGGCTGATACGGAGGCCCTGTGTCCAGTACAGGTGCCCCCCAGAGGCAGTGCCCCGGGGCTGGGCACTGGCCTGAGTTTGAACTGAAGGCCTATCATTCACAAGCTGGGTGACCTGGAGCAAGTTGCTTAACCTGTCTGTGCCTCAGTTTTCCTGTCTGTAAACTGGGGGGAAGAAAATGCCTGTAGGGCGGCTGTAAGGATAACTTCTTGGATGGAAAGTGCTCAGGACAGTGCCTGGCACGGGTAAGTGACACACGTTGGAAATTGGGGGGGTCCTGGGTTTCATATCCCCGCCCTGCACCTCCCAGCCTGTGACTAGAGAAAGGATTGGTCTCTCTGAGCCTTGGTTTCCTCATCTGTCAAAGGGATTGGTGCTCATTCCACCTCAACGAGTTACCACCTGCGGCAGGCTCAGCCCAGCACCTGGTGTGACGTGAGCGGTCGCTGCGATGGCAGTGGCTTCGCTGTGCTCCCTAACCCGTCTCCCCCACCCGCCTGCCGGCGTCCCTGAAGCCGTTTATAACCCCCAGGTACCTCTCTACCTCAACTGGTTTTCTTCCTGCTTGTGTTAAATCCACCTGTACCTGCTATTGACACCACAGATTGCCTTTTTCCATTGTGCCAGTTGCAACGCTATAGATTCCCTTTTTGGTATTTTGCAACTTCCCTGAACAATCAATACCTTTGTTTATTCATGGTGGGATAGATGTGTCAGCTATTAAACTCTGAGATCCGGGAGAACTTTAAGTAGAGGTTAAAGCCATTTAGGTCCAGGAAACGGCCGGTTCAAGAAAGTTCTTACAATAGGTAAACCCACTACTAACCTTTTTTGCACAGTGTGTGGAGGCAACAGAACATTTTCTCTTCCCACAGTTAAAACCAAGGCCAAGGCCTCGGGGAAAAGCTGACGTGGAACGGCCAGGAGAGCCGGGTCACAACGGCCAGTAGAGCAGGGTCACTGCTTGTTTTTATTTTACCACTTCAGAAATGAAAAAGGAATTGAATGGGACCCGTCAGGGCTCCAAGTACTGCTTTGTCTCCGAGTTGGGAGACTGGCTGCGTGTGAGGAGACAGGAAGAGCCTTGTCTGCTCATGAGCAGGAAGTGACCAGAGCCTTCAACCATCTTCAGGCCCAGCCACCTCTGGGTGGCCGCTGGTGTCCCGTAGGTTCTGGGCCTTGAGTATTTTTAGCCACTCTCCCCCTCAGCTGACATGGTGCCCAGAAGTCACCAGAACCTTTGCCCATGCACGCACACAATCAGCATTGTTTCCTCTTGACCCAGACACTCCCCCGCTTTGTCTCTGCCTCCCGTGTTTTTCTCTTATGGAAAGAATGAATGCGCACGTATAAAAAGTCAGGGCCGTGCTAACCGCTGTGTAGATACTGCCTCCTTTCCCTCCAACAACCTTGAGAGAACACGACTCCATCTTCTGACTACCCAGCGAGGACACAGAACCCTAGAGAGATTGAGCGGCCCACCTCAGGTCATGCATCTGTAAGTCACGGGGGAGGACTTGAACACAGAGCCCATGTGCGTCACCATCCACACTGCGTGCTCCCTTGCCTGCAGTCAGCTCTTCTGATTTTTTTCTCCCTCTCTGTCTCTCCCTCTGGGTTCCCCAATGCATCTCTTTCCTATGGCTGCTATAACAAATGACTAGAGTGATTTAAGATGACGCAAATGTATTATCTTACAGTTCTGGAGGTCAGAATGAGTTCATCCCACTGGGTGGAAAAAAGGAAGGTATTGGCATTTAAAACAACAAATAAACCTGAGGAAGATTTAAGGCTCATGTCTTGGTTCGGAAGATTGGGGCGTTGACTGACCCTCGACCTGGAAGATTCCTGCCAATCCCAAAATGACTTCAGTGAGATATATTCAGGATCAAATATGCCTGGTTTTAAAATGTTCTGTAGGCCAGATTAAGCTGCGAGCGTTAGTGACCTGTGCCTGTGTCCATATATCTAGTTAATTCCACTTACTGCCAATTCTCCTGTTCTTCCTGGCTGGCTCTTCTGTCCATGCCCGCTGCACCCCCGCCCCCATTGAGAGCCATCCTCAGCCTCAGTTGGGGTGTGTTTCTTGGACTGTGGGCTTCCCTTCAAAATGCAACTGGCTGCCTCTTCCAACATCTAACATCATTTTGTGGATTTCACTCACCGCCCTTCTCTGCTCAAGACTTTTCATGGCTCCTCATTACTTACAAGGCACCATCCAAATTTCTTAGCCAATGCCAGAAGTGATTGAGTTCCAAGCACACCTCCTGCCCTCTCCATTCAGGGCCCCGTCCTGCGTGGCTTCAGCACCAGGGACAGCACCCACCACCGCCCCCTCCCAAGAATCTGAGTGGGTGCTCACTGGGCATTTGTCCGGTTAAAGCTGGTGGGTGCTGGTAGAAGAGATGTCCTTTTTGATTAGTTAAATATATATATATATTTTTTTATTTATATATTTATATACATATATATATATATTTTTTTTTTTTTTTCCTGAGGGAGAGAGAGGCAGCGTGATCAGGGGAGGGTCAGAGAGAGAGGGAGACATAGAATCTGAAACAGGCTCCAGGCTCTGAGCTGTCAGCACAGAGCCCGACGCAGGGCTCGAACTCACGAACCGTGAGATCATGACCCAAGCCAAAGCTGGACGCTCAACCAACTGAGCCACCCAGGTGCCCCAGCTTCCTATTTTTATTACAGTGTTACTTAAATGTGAACAAACAAGATCAGGTACAAATTCCATGTGCTTCATCTGTATACAACTGTAAACCAAAGCCAGATTTTCCTAGTAAGTACAACGTAGTCACATCGTGGTCATGTCCCATTAGACAGTGTCTTCTCGAAACCGAGTCCCTCCCTGCCATGGTGATGTGGTGCCAGTTTCTGCTGCCTGCGTGTGTGGTATCATCAGCTGGTGGTGCTGGGTGGCTCCGTCTTCCCGTTTCTTCCTTGCTTGTGTTAGGGGCGACTCCAGGAAGTCCTTTGACTTTGCCTTCGTTCCCTGGAGATAAAAGGAAAAAACAAAGTCTAGATCAGTTGGCAGTTGTATTTGACTGTGGTGATAGAGTAAGAGAAATACAGGGGCTTCAATGAGTCAGGGATTCACTCCTCTCTCACATAGCAAGAGACTGGAAGGCGCGTGTCCAAGGCCAATATGGCGGCTCCACCATGGAAAAAAGGATGGGGCTTCCCCCAGGCCCCCACTCTGCCCTCCTCAGGACAGGACCCTCCTGTAAATCCTCGCAGGATGGCTTCTGGAACCGCTGTAATGAAGGCCCTGGGAGGGAGAAAGAGGAAGCCAAAAGGTGAAGATGGTCTGTCAGCTCATCCGTATGTGCAGATCTTACCCAGGACCGTCAATGACTTCTCCTTATGTCTCAGTGTCCACAGGGGTAGAGACGCTGTGCGCTGCAAGGGAGGCTGGGAAACAGCGTTGCCTGGAGAGAGGGGGGCGCGTAGCCACCCCCAACTCCAGATACCACCCCCAACGAGGGTTCTCACAGGAAGAGGGGACGTGGGCCTTATACAGGCAAGTGGGGGCCCTTGCCATTCTTGGGGACCGGGATCCCCTGGCACTGAGCACATTTCAAAAAGATTACTCGATTTTTAAAATTTGAAAGTATAGAGAACTCACCAGTCCCTGTTTGAATAATGCAGATCTAACTGTTCTCTTGCGAGTTCGTAGGAAGATGGTTGTCTCAGTTGGTCTTAGATACTTAAATGACAAGGTCCTTAAGGACAGAGCGCACCCTGGCCCCCATATATGTCCTCCATAGTAGCCAGCACCGCTCTGGCTATAGAAGACTTCCCTCCTGAGTGATACCCTGTGGGTCTGGGGCCAGTTTGCAAGATGGCCAGGAGTGCAGTTTCTGGAACTAGAGCCTTGGGTCACACTTCTGCTCTGCCACGAAGTAGCTGCATAACCTTGAACAAGTTACTTAATGTTCCCATGCCTCAGTTTCCCCATATGTAAAATGGAAAAAAGATTAGCATCTTCCATGGAGGGTATGGGGGTTTGGAGAGAGAGCCCGTGCTTGGCATGGACCTAGTTCATCACAGGAGTTCCGGAAATGTGAGCACTCTCTCCTCCTCACCGTGTGTGTGTGTGTGTGTGTGTGTGCGCACACCCATGCATACTGTGCGCATGTTTCTGGTCTTAACAGCCTAAGGGTGTCACTGAGTAACCTAGCTCAAGGCTGTGCCAAGCACATGGATTATATGGGCGTCTCTGTCCGGAGAAAGACACAGGTGCTTGGAAAGATATATTCTAGGGGCGCCTGGGTAGCTCAGTCAGTTAAACCTCCAACTCTGGCTCAGGTCATAATCTTGAGGTTTGTGGGTTCGAGCCCCCTGTCAGGCTCTGTGCTGACAGCTCGGAATGTGGAGCTGCTTCAGATTCTGTGTCTCCCTCTCTCTCTGCCCCTCCCCCGCTTGTGCGTTCTCTCTCTCTTTCAAAAATACACATTTTGGGGCACCTGGGTGACTCTGTCAGTTAAGCATCTGATTCGGCTCAGGTCATGATCTCACGGCTTATGAGTTCGAGCCCCACATCGGGCTCTGTGCTGACAGCTCAGAGCCTGGAGCCTGCTTCGGATTCCGTGTCTCATTCTCTCTCTGTCCTTCCCTGACTTATGCACTCTCTGTCTCAGTCTCTCAAAAATAAATAAATATTAAAAAAATTAAAAAGACAAACTTTAAAAAAAAACATTTTTAAAAAGATATATTCTAAATTAACTTAATTTTTTTAACAGTGCACAGAAATTTTAAATAATGCTAAAGCAGGCCTGAGATTTGTATGTTTCTCTAGAGAGGCCACACCGTCACAGCTCATCTGGTTCCTGGGGCATGTGAGGCCGTATTCAGATACTTGACCCGTGATTTCAATGTGTTCTTTGCTTGTTGTCTGTTGGCACATGGAATTAAGCTGCCGGATACCATTCTGTGCTTTTCTGATTGCATTTTCCTTCTTTCTTTTTTATAGCGGCAAAAATTAAAAAAAAAAAAAAAAAAAAAAAAAGCCTTGTTACATCCTGAGATGTGATTTGTATTACTTCTTAGTGGCAGAAAATCCTCGTGAAAATAGCTGTAACTTCATGGCAGAGGTTGTGGGGACAGTGTGCTTTCCGTTACAAAACCAGACATCATGGGGCGCCGGGGTGCAGTGGGGCTCGGTTGTTTGAGCGACCGACTCTGGATTTTGGCTCAGGTCAGGATCTCACTGTGGGACTGAGCCCCAGGTGGGCTCGGCTTGGCGTGAGCGTGGAGCCCACTTGGCATTCTCTCTCTACCCGTGCCCCTTCCCCACGCGTGCATGCATGTGCACCCTCACCCACTCTCTGTAAAAAACAAAAAGACGGGGCGCCTAGGTGGCTCAGCTGGTTAAGCATCCGACTTTGGCTCAGGTCACAATCTTGCAATACGTAGGTTTGAGCCCCATGTCGGGCTCTGTGCTTCAGATTCTCTGTCTCCCTCTCTCTCTGCCCCTCCCCTGCTCATGCTCTGTCTCTCTCTCTCTCAAAAATAGATAAACATTTTTTAAAAAGACAAAACATAACCAGACATCAGAGCTAACGTTTCTGGAAGACATCAGACCGGGGAAAGCCAGCACGTAGGCACCTCAAGTGTCCGGGTCCCTGTAATGCCAGCTGCTCTCCAAAGACATCTCCCGGGCCACACCTCCATTCAATACCAAATCGATCATTTTTATCAGCTGGCAAGATGGCAGTGGTTTCTCAAAACCTAAAGATCGGGTCCGAATTTAAACCTAGACTCGAGCATTCTTTAACGTGCCAAAGAAAAGTGCCTGAAGTTCCTGAATTTTGTATCCCACTCGAGGGCTTCTCAGCTTGTGAGTTGAGAGATGACCCCTTACGATCAGGGGTGGTCCCAGGGACCTGCTTGTTTCTCCCCTGCCTTGGGAGTGTGTCCAGGAAAGACTGCTTTGGAATATCCACCCCCCCCCCCCCCCCAGTCAGTACACGGGGCCCAGAAAAAAAGCCCTTTCTGGCCCAACCCCAGGCTCTGGCGGAGAGATGTTTTCCGCTTAGAGCTGCGTGCCTACCTTGTAGATGCCGCACGTGTCAGGATTCACCCCCCGTCGACTGGGAACGCCGGCGCTTACACACAGGACACTTTTCCCAGTTGAGAAGTTCTGCGGAGTGAGAGGGGCCTGTGCTGTCCTTTAAAAATCAGTTCTCAGGACGAAGGGGCAGGTTCCATTGTCCTTTCCCCTCGTGGCTCCAGGTCACGGACCTACTGGTGGATGAGTCCAGCTTCACCGGGGAGGCGGAGCCGTGCAGTAAGACAGACAGCCTCCTGACGGGCGGAGGGGACCTCACCGCTCTGAGCAACATCGTCTTCATGGGGACCCTGGTGCAGTATGGGAAGGGACAGGTAAGCCCCTGGGCCCTTGGCCGCCCTCCCCAGCAGGCTCCCGGCCTCAGATCTCACACGTCTCTCTCCCGAATGCAGGGAGTCGTGATCGGAACAGGGGAAAGATCCCAGTTCGGTGAAGTGTTTAAGATGATGCAGGCTGAAGAGGTAAGGGCCACGGTGGGCTTTGCTTTTTCTTGCAAGCTGGGGTTTGAGATTATCCTTGGCTACTGATACCAGCCCAGTGCTTAGGAATGAGGGTAATGTGGTTAATAAGAGTTCACGTTTTTAAAATTCTGTTTTTATTTAAAAAACGTCTATTGGGGGGTGCTTGGGGGACTCATTCGGATGAGCGTCCAACTTTGGCTCTGGTCATGATCTCACGGTTTGTGAGATCGAGCCCCCGGGTCGGGCTCTGTGCTGACAGCTCAGAGCCCGCTTCGGGTCCTCGGTCCCCCTCTCTGTCCCTCCCCCACACGCGCTCTCCCTCAAAACCAAATAAACGTTAACAAAATAATACAAATAAAAACACTCACTAGGATTTTTTGCCAGGATATAACTTACAGACCGTAAGTGTAGAGGTCAGTGAATTTTCACACACGCGCACCCTGTGTAATTGTCGCTCCGCTCAGGGGATGAAAAAGCCAGGCGGAGACCCCACACTGGGATGTCCTCTAACCCAGCATTCTCCTCCTTTCAGACGCCCAAAACCCCACTACAGAAAAGCATGGACAAGCTGGGGAAGCAGCTGACACTTTTCTCATTTGGCATAATTGGTGAGTGAAACAGTCTGTGCGCTGGGCCCCGGGGACGGAGGGGAGCGTCCTGAGCAGCCACGCCCCTTTCTCAAATATCTTGCCCTTGACCTGGGTGAGGACGGGGGGCAGGATGGGAGACTCTGACGGTGCCTAGAGGCTTCTGCATTAGACCAGACGAACCGTTGTAATGAGCGACTCTCGTGGCTCAACATGGTCAAGGTGTATTTCTTGCTCACATGAGTCCACGGTCATGTCCTGCTTGAGTGGGCTTCCTGGGCAGGTCACCTCCAGACACCAACACGTCCCCTGACGTGGGCCGTAATTCTGTTCAGCCAGCAGGTAGGGAAAGTGGAAACACAGAGATTGTATGAGAAAATTTTTAAAAAATTAATTTATTTTTGAGAGAGAGAGAGAGCACAAGTGGAGGAAGGCAGAGAGAGGGAGACACAGAATCCAAAGCAGACTCCAGGCTCCGAGCTGTCAGCACAGAGCCCAACACGGGGCTTGAACCCACGAATCGTGAGATCATGACCTGAGCCGAAGTCGGACGCTTAACCCCCTGAGCCACCCAGGCGCCCCAATATGGGAAGTCCTTAAGGCATGGGCCCCCCCAAGGGAAGGTATCACCATTGCCCCTTTTTGATTGGCCGGGATGAGTCACATGGCCTGCCTAACCGCAAAGGAGACTGGGAGGTAAGGTTAGCGGTGTCTCTGGCCGGACGTCCAGGCTACCAACCAGGCTGTGCCGATTGGCCTTTGGCAACACACCAGACAGGATCAGCTTGGTGCTGTGGATCTAAATTTAAGTCTTAAGCCTGAATATCCCCCATGGGGCCACGCCGGCCCCTTCACCCACTCCTTCCTGCTGTCTCCAGCTCTAGCTTTGATGGTATGTTCTTCCTTTCCTAGCCTTCAAGGTCAGCCAGAGCCTGGCCCGTAGCAGATTCTCAATAAACACTTGTTGAGTGAATACGTCATAAAGGAACCGACCGACACCCCACTGCCCATAGCACCGGCAGTGACGGCGGGGGGGTCCACGTGGGTCTCGCTAACCCAGAGGACGTTTGTGGGACAGACAGCGGTCCCTTCTAGCAACACTTCTGTTGCGTCTCTGGCCACCGCGATGTGTGAATTCGCTTACTGAGTGTTTTGTGGCATGCTAGACACCAGGAGAGGTTTGGGGGCCACCAGGATGAATCAACATGGCTTAGACCCTTCAGAAGAGCCCAGGCTAATAGGAAAGACGCACTTGAACAAATGTGGACCGTGATGGTCGTGGCTGATCTCGAGTGGGAGAGCTGGGAAGGCTGCAAGGGGGACGTGGCATTAAAGTGGGTCTTGTCGGATGCCAGGAATTTGCCAAGTGAACCGAGAGGGATCAGGGTTTCACGGAGGAATGGAGGGGATCGCCACTCCTCTGCGACTTATAAGCAGAAGTAAAGCTAGCAAGGTGGTTAAGAGGATGCGATCTGGGGTCAAGTGTCCCGGTTCCATCGTGCGAGGGACGCACCTGCTTCCCTTTACTTCCCTGTCCCCGAATTCCAGCGTCTGGTCACCTCTCCAAGTTCAGCTTTGGATTCAGTGCCCAGAGTTGGCTAAGTCGCGAGCTTTGCTGTTTTTGAGCGCCTCTCTGCCATCTTCCCTCCCTCCCCACCCGGTGTTGTCCTGCAGCGGTAACGGAAGCTGGGTCTTACCTTAACTGGTCACATCCGAGCTCAGCTCGTGGGGCTCTGAGCTGGGGCAGCATGTTGAGGCTGGACTCCTGCTCGGTGGCAAGGAGTGGGACATGTTAGTGACGTCTGTTGGCGGAGACACGAAGGGAAGGAGGCCTAAGCATCACCATTCACTCGCCATCCTTGGGATCGCGTATCGGTCGGCCGTCTCTGGCAGAGCAGAGTGCGCACGTGGCCGTGGCCGCCCGGAGGCCTCTTTGGTTCTCTAGCTCAGGGATTAGAGAACTCTGACTCCTGGACTGAACTGGGTCGGCCACCTGTTTTTTATGGCCCACAAGCAAAGAATAGTCTTTACATTTTTAAATGGATGGGGGGAAAAAATCAAAAGAACACTATTTTGTGACATGAAAGTTCTATGAAATTCAAATTTCCAGCGTTCGTCAATAATGGTTTTTGAGAACACAGCCACGCCCGTTCACGTGAGACCTGTGGCCTCTTTCTTTCCCCTTATGATGGCCCAGTTGAGTTGCAGCGAGAGACCATAGGGCCCATAAAGCCAAAACCATTTGCCATCTGGCCTCTTGGAGGAAAAGCCTTCTGGCACCAGCTCTAGGCAGTCTGCGTGGGCGGGACGAGAGGGCGCTGTGACGGGGACTGTGCTCTTTCTACCTCAGGAGCCCTACGAATGAATACCATGTAGATGTGCGTTCAAGGCCAATGGTCAAGCAGATCACATTAATGGGAGGAAATTCGGTGTGGTTTTTTTTTTTGGGAGGGCAGGGGCGGGGAACCACAAAGATGAAATTTGTTGTTTTGCTAAAGAAAAGTTCCAAGCCAGAGGCTCCGGAAGGTCATTGCCCTAAGCCATTCCTCCCCAAGTTCATTAGAACTTAAATGGGCACGTCCACGGCCAGGCCCACGTAGCCTGTTTCCTCCGTAGTAAATATTTCAAGAACTGCTCTAGCACAGCAGGGGCTTTGGAAGGGGGTTCTGTGGGTCCCTGGTGGGGGGAGGGGAGGCAAGGAGGAGACACAGGTTAGGAGGCAGCGGTGGGCTGGTCAGTGCTGAACCCCTTTACAGGGAGAGGAGTGATTGCCATCCTCTGAGGCGGGAATACCCTCGGCGTGGGCACTTTGAAGCTACCCCTGTGTTGACATCACTGAGCGTGGCTTTGGGAACGGATGCGCGTGGCCGGCCCCTGGGGGCCCCTGTGAGCACGCTCCAGCATTCGGCAGGGGTCCCCGTGGTGGGGTCGGGGCCCGTGGCTGGGGCTGCGGACTCCCCGCCCCTGTTTCTAATAGCGTGGCCCCTGCAAGCTTTGCATCTGCATTCATTTACCTGCCAGCTGAGAACTCCTTTGACTATTGCCACTAATTACAGTCCGGAAAAAAATGCTACCAAATCAGACCTTGTGACCCCCACCCCCCCACACGCACAGGCACACACCACACCTGCCCAGCCTCAAGCCTGCGCTGGCTCCCTGTTCCCTCCCAAACAGCTGCTGTGGCTTAGCATGTCCTCCGAGCCTCAGTAGGCGACTCAGACTCACTCACCCTCCCACCTCTTCCGATGACGACGGTGACACAGCCAACCCCGGGGGTCGGCCCCGGGCCAGGAGCTGTGCTGAGCCCTTCAGGTGGGTCGATGCATCTTAAATCCTGAAACAACTCCTTGAGGGAGACATGGTCGTTATCCCCACTTTACAGATGAGGACACTGAGGCCCCAGAGTGTCCCCATTGCCAGACGTGTCGTGGGCTTTCACGTGCCCCGGGCCTGCTGGTTAGTAAACACTGGGTGAATGAAATGATGAGGGAGAAAACTGAAGAGGGGGCATGTTTGATCACAAACACGGCAGGACGGAATCCTCTGAGAAACGGACCCACGTGCCTGTCCCCGGAACACCTGTCATCTGACACGTCGGACACCACGGGGCGGGGGGGAGGGAGTCTCAGCACAAACAGCCCCCAGGAGAGTTCTGGAATCCTCTGTAAACGTTTTCTAACAGCCTGAGAGGAACCCACTGGCTGATCGTTTCTTTCTCCACCGTGAGCCGGCTTGGTCCTTTCCGGAAAAAGGCAAACCATTCTTTTTCGCAGGTGCAGAAGGGTCTTAAAAAGAACCAGGAGGCGTCACAAGTACTTGCGGTTCCTACCCATGGCCTCAGGCGTACATTCCTGAGATCCTTTGCGGGAAAGGAGTTTGAAACACCCCTGCACGTCGGAGGTTGTACACGTATGTGCGTGCGTGTGCACACGTGTGTGCGTGCGTGCACAGACGTGCCCTTTTTGTCTCCTTCCCAGGCTTAATCATGTTCACGGGCTGGCTGCAAGGGAAGCAGCTTCTCAGCATGTTCACGATCGGGGTCAGGTAAGGGCACCGAACTCCCCTCGCCAGGGCGCCACGGGAGAGCGGGGTGCGAATGCTGCGTGTCTCTTCCGCTCCCTGATTCTGTGACTTTGGCCTAAACCCAGCGTCCTGACGTGAGCCCTGGAGGCCAGCCTGCCCCACATGGCGGTGCCTCACTGCCTCTGGGGCGGGGCAGGCCCTCTCCCCTGCGCCACCCCTTCCTAGCCAGCCCCCCCCCTCCCGAGTGCCCGCTGATGGTTTATTCCCATCACCCGGGGCTGACGGCACCAGATCAGAGTTTGCGGGCTGGTGGGGAAAGTAAGCGTAAACACATCAAGTGAACATTAATAAAATAATCACCACTTACGATCGAGGCTACGGAGGAAACAATTGCAGAGGGAGTACAGGGGAGGTAGGAAGAATGTCCTGGAAAGGTGGCCTGGGAACATCCTCTAGGGGTGTTGAGGAGGAGGCTGCTGGAGCTCAGGGGGAAGCCCAGCCAGGCGCGTCTGGGATCAGCAGGGACTTGCTGGGCTCCTCGAGCGGAAGTACGAGCAGAGTCCCTCAGGGGATGAATCACCAGCCTTTTGTGGGCCCCTTTCCCTCCCGATTCTAAATAACATCAGAATTCCTCTCCACACGCATGCCAAGCCATCGCTGCTATTTTTTTGGAAAAGTGTTGGCCGTTCTTGACGTAGAGATGGGAGTGAAGCCCCGCTTGCTGAGCTGCGAGGGGCCCAGGGGGCATAGGCAGCTGGCTGCACTATGGAATGCGGGTTTCGAGATCAGGGCGGGCTTCCTGGAGGAGTAGGTCATCGAAGAGTAGGGATATCTGAAGGCAGCCTGAGGACACAAGGTCCTGAGGAAAGCTTGTTCCGCGCCAGTCACAGGTGCACTGACTCGGTGGGTCTGGGGGACCCTGAGACTCTGTGTTCCTAACCAGCTCCCCCGGACGCTAATGCCGCTGTAAGTGGTAAGCCCGACTGGGTCAGGGCTCCAGCAGGAAGCAGGGCCAGGGAGGAAGGTTGAGCCACTGATAAGAGTGTTCAGGTGACTAAGCCTTCAAGGGGCAGGCGTGGTGGCCGAGGGACAGAGAAGCCTGAGCCCTGGGGAACTCCCGGAAGACCCAGGCCACTCCGAAGCTGTGACGCTTAGAACCTCCTCCGAATAATGACACATGCCATTCCCATCTTGTACACGGTGGAAAGTTCCGTGAGCCAGAGACTATTACATATTTCCAGGTCAGTATCAGAAGTGGGCCCTGCCCGCCCTCCCCAGTGCCATTGGTTGGTCACTTCTGGTCCCCAGCCCCTTCCACCTGACCTGCCCTACACCCACGTTCTACTTGCCCTTCAGAGGAAATCTACTCTGTTCGTTTCCCCCGTGACTTTGAAGAGACCAAGGCTTTCCAGTTTTGAGCAGACTGAGCTGCTCGAAACCACTGAATCGGAAGGTAGAAAGAGCAGAGCAGCCGGTAAGGAAGAGATTCTCCGAGGAAGTAACATGAGAATCCCCCTTTTACACACTTTCTCTTAATTCCCTCTGCCTCGAGTGACATTCACGGTGATCCAAAGTAGACTCGCTTTTCCTGGTCCATGTTCGTCTTTATTAGTTTGGGCATTAATTTTTTATTATTCTGCAAGCATCCAAGTAATGCAAAAACGCCCTTCCCAGGCCATATGGGGGGGAGAAAGTACCGTCGTATAACCCTCTGCAAATGTTTGCTTAGCTGGTCTTGTCTGCTTGTACCATAAAACCAAGAAAGCCTGCTTGCTGTCACCATAGAAACCGGGCACGGTCCTTTGACCAAGGTCAGTAACCTTGGTTCACATAACCGGCCCCTGAATGCTCCTTTGTCTTGGAGGGGGGGGGGATTACCTCTCGTGCACCGTATTTCTTCAACTTCAGACACACATTCTCTTTCACATTTTAACTTCTCTGAGGTCAGACTGCTGCGTATCAGTGATGTGACAAGGGGCGCCTGGGTGACTCAGTTGGTTAAGTGTCCGACTCTTGACTTGGGCTCAGGACACGATCTCATGGGTCATGAGTTCGAGCCCCTCATCGGGCTCTGTGCTCACAGCACCAGGCCTGCTTGGGATTCTGTCTCCTCCTCTCTCCGCCCCTCCCCTGCTTGCTCGCTCTCCAGCTCTCTTTCAAAATAAATAAAAATAAACTTAAAAAAAAAACAACCAAGCAGGTGATATGATAAGAAAGCACCGTGTGGTTACCTGGCAGTATATTTTTTGTGTTAGCAGTACACAGATAATTGTGCCTGTCACCATCAGCCACATCTGAGCTTGGATGAAATGCGATAGCCACGTGTGACTTCCGCGAGCTTCCTCTGCCGGGCTTTCTGAATATGAACCAAGCCACATAGAAGGCTCACTGTGCGCTGGGCCCGTGCAGCTCCAGACGCTTGCCACGTATGTGCAGGCATCCCTCGTTTTGTTAAAGTTTATTTATTTTGAAAGAGAGCAGGGGAGGGGCAGAGAAAGAGGGAGAGAGAGAACCCCAAGCAGGCTGTCCGCGCAGAGCCCGATGCGGGACTCGAACTCATGAACTGTGAGATCACGACCTGAGCCAAGATCAAGAGTTGGATGCTTGACCGACTGAGCCCCCCAGGAGCCCCCTGTTTTAGTGCACTTGGCAGATTATATTATTATATTTTCTAGGGTGTTCTGTGATACAGCCTGAGGAAAACTCAGATGATTGTTAGCATTTTTGAGCATAAAGAGTTTTTTAAGATTTTATTTTTAAGTAACCTCTACACCCCACATGGGGCTTGAACTCACAACCGCAAGATCAAGAGTCACACGTTTACTGACTGAGCCAGCCAGGCGCCCCAGCCATAAAGTATTTTTAATTTAAAGTGTGTATATTAATTTTTTAGACACGATGCTATTGCAAGCTTCCTAGACTACAGTACAGGACACCTGGGGGCTCAGTCAGTTGAGCGTCAGACTTCAGCTCGGGTCATGATTTTGCAGTTCAAGAGTTCAATCCCCACGTTGGGCTCTGTGCTGACAGCTCAGAGCCTGGAGCTGCTTCGGATTCTGTGTCTCCCTCTCTCTCTGCCCCTCCCCTGTTGCTCTTTGTCTGTCTCTCTCTCAAAAATAATAAATATTTAAAAAATAGACTGCAGTACGGCGTAAACATGACTTTTTTACGCACTGGGAACCACAGGGTACATTTGACTGGCTTTACGTGGCGGTCGCTGTATTGCGTGGTCCCGAACTGAACCCGCGGGACGCCGGAGGTGTGCCTGTCTTCCCTCATTCCTGTTTGTTCCTCCAGCAAATATTTGCTGAATGCCTGCAGTGCTCTGCTGATGCCCTGTGCCCGCGGTGACCCGGGGTGGGTGCGGCATGGCCACGCTCACTCCTCGGCCCAGAGGCACCTGCTCACTCACGCCAGCCCGGCCCCGTCTCCAGCCTCCCCACTGAGTTCAGCGGGATGTCGCACACGAGCCCCTGGCCTCATCCACGCCTGCCTGAGTGTGGGATGGAGAGTCCGTCTGCCATGACGTTCCTGCCGCCAAATCTGAGCACAAAGAGCCCCTTCTTAACATCCTAACACATGTTGACGTGCCGCCCACAGGAAGGGGGTCCGTGGGCTTTATCCCCATTCAGTTTCCCGAGAGAGGCTCCTTGGTCCAGCCTGAATCACATGTTCTCTCCTAATCCAATCATCCATGGCTGTGGGAGGTGGGGTGACTGTGTTCTAATCCAATCAGCCTTGCCGTGGGGTTGGGGGGGTGTCACATGGTATAGGAAGAATTGGAAGGATACTAATGAAGTGAGCAGACACCCGAACACGAGGCTCCCATAGGCAACTGTAGTGTCCCTGTACCTCCTTCAACTTTAGTTTCCTTGTCTGGCTCTCTAATCAGACCCTCTGAACCAAAAAATTCCACTTTCCGCTTCTTGCCTAATTCTGAAAGTTCCTCGCACAGGACCCAACGACTTTTCTCTTTAATAAATGACAACAATTTAAATGCAAAGGCACTTAAAAGAGGCAAAACAACTGAGGGACTACTTTACGCTAAAGTGTGGATGTCTGATAGGGGCAGGCCCTTCTCAAGAGCAGGGTTTTGCAACAGGAGAACTTAGAGCAGCGGATGCTGAAGAAGGAGACAGGTGCATCATGAGATTGGGAACAGACACTGGAACAGGGACGTTGAGGAGCCCAGAGATGTGCTTCCCCCGGTAAAAGCGTTGCCGACCCCAGTTGGGATTCATGTCGTCCTTAAGCGCATGTTAAACGTGACCCATCTGGGCCTTTTGATCCAGCCTGGCTGTGGCTGCCATTCCGGAGGGTCTGCCCATCGTCGTCACGGTGACCCTGGTCCTGGGAGTGCTCCGGATGGCCAAGAAGCGGGTCATCGTGAAGAAGTTACCGATCGTGGAGACGTTAGGTGAGGGACTCTGCCTGTTGAATTCCTGTAGATGGGGTTGAATGCTGCCTGGGTGTTTCATTAGCCTGAGCGGTGATGGTGATGATTTGCCTCCTATAAGCTGGGGTTTTCTCCTGCCAGGTTGCTGCAATGTCATCTGCTCTGATAAGACAGGCACCCTGACGGCCAATGAAATGACTGTCACCCAGCTGGTAACGTCCGATGGGCTCCATGCCGAGGTGAGCCCCACACCAATTCACACGGTCCAGACAAGGGTCTATCCTGCCAGCCCCTTTCCTTCCTCGAAAAAAAGCACACAGAACCTTCTAGAAAGCAATAAGGAAGACACAAAAATGGGTGATTGTACAGTTTCCTTGCCACAAACAGCAGCAAGGAATGTGACCGAGTTAAGGGTAAGGGAGCCACCTTTATTTTTTACAATTACCTGTTAGTAATCAGCACATTACATAATGTAGAAGCTACAGACAGTTGCCCATAATCCCATGTGATAAACTGATCGTGACGGTCACTTTGGGTTTTCAGTCTCTCTCCTGTACCTCTGGCACCGTTATCAGCTCGTGGAACGTGCAGTTTTGTTTCCTGCTATTTTTTTTCACAAAACTTCTAGACCGAGAGGTCAGTCCTGGCAGCTGACGGGCCAGTGGCCATTGTTGTAAGTAGCATTTTGCAGGCAGACTGCTGCGTCCTTTGGCTCACGTGCCCTCTGTCGATGGCTCCCTTTATGCCCCAGTCACAGAGCCGAGTGGTCGTGAGGGACTGCGTGGGCTGCAAAGCCTTAGGTATTTGCTGTCCGGCTCAATAAGGAAATGTTTGCCTACCTCTGTTCTAGAACAGAAGCTCTCTTTGGTGCTATCACTTTGGTTTTGTTTTGTTTTTTTTAATGTTTTATTTGCTTCTGAGAGAGAGAGAGAGACAGCGTGAGCAGGGGAGGGGCAGAGAGAGAGGGAGACACAGAATCCGAAGCAGCTCCAGGCTCCGAGCTGTCAGCACAGAGCCCGACGCGGGGC